CATCCGAACATAGATCACGCAGTATAGATAGTTTGAAACGTTCGTAAACAGGGTTTTTGTATTTGATGGAGATAAAGCAATGCTCTTTTGTGCTGCTTGATAGGGAACTGGAGGCCATTGTGATAGTTTCTCTGGATGGGAGTACCTCCCACTTATTGGTGAGTACTAGGCTCTCTGAAACAGCTTGCTGAGCTCCCGGTGTCGATCAGAGCACGACAAGGGACTCCATTGACTTTGAGATCCACGACAGATTTTGAGAGACATGTAGGAGAATTGGCTGTGATAGTCGCCGATATAGATGGACAAGCGGCAGATGAAGCGTGACTTCGTTGGCTTTTTGAGACAAACTCTTTGAAAGTGACCCTTTTTACCACAACCTTTACAGACTATCTCTTGCGGAGCACTTGGAGCGAGGGTACTTGTCGAGGCCACAGAAAAAAACACTTGCGACGGACTACGGCGGCGATACAATCGTTAGAACACTATCAGAGGTTTGTGTAGGGAGGGAGGAGTTGATGAAGGTGCGCGTATAGCTGTCGTGTGGTATGCAGTGGGAAAGTTCTGGTGGGACATGTTTTCAGTTTCAGTTTGAACAACCGTGCACTTTCGTGCGCCGGTTTTGGTTGCTGTCTTTTGGCTGCCCTAAAGTGCCCTAAAGTCTTAGGCACCCATTTGGTGGGACATGAGTTGTTGCTCTGTCATTTCTAGGGCTCTCGCTTGATCGAAGGCCTTTTGAAAATTCAGCAAACTATTTTCCAGTAGGCATTGTCTGATATGGTTAAATTGAATTCCACTAATAAATGCGTCTCGGAGAACATCGTTTCGGTTTTCCTCCAGGGTAGTGGACCTGAAGGTGCAATCTCTTTCTAGGGACTTCAACTTTTGAACGAACCAAATTTTCCCACTGTCCTGTTTTGCCGTGGCGAGGATATGACGGACGAAGACCTCATTTTTTGGGCACACATGAAGGTTACTAAGCGTCTCCATTACCATCTCATAGGTTTCACATTCCACGACATGTTCGTAGACAGCAGGAGATATGTATGAAATCAGCATATCCAGTTTGTCGGGTTTTAAATTATCCACTGACTTGAGGAGACTGAGAAAAGTCCTGTACCAATGGTTCCACTGTCTGGTAGCATTTGGTGAGTAGGTTCAACATCGAACCGTTCTAGGCGTAATATTCGATCCATTTCTGTATGTCGAATAAGTTGTGTTATAGCAGCGCACACGAGAAACGAGAACGAGAAAGGCTTTATTCGACATACAGCGTACGTATGAACGCTGAAAAAGGAGGAGGAGATACGAGTCAGAAAAGCGATATTCAGAGTATTATGTCAACGTCCAATCCTTGTTCACCCTCAATTTTACCACTAACCTTGTATGCATTGCGAGTTTGGCAGCGATCATCGAAGTTCGCCTCACTGTATTTTGCTGTACGATGATAATGATGAAGAAGAAGAACGATTAAGGTTCTCAATCGGAGCCTTTAGCCCTGACAAGAACGTAACTGCAAGGCACCGGATGAAGCGAAGGGGAGGTCCATTTGCTTGGATTGACTACCCCACCATTTCTAACGACTGAGAGTCGAACCCCCAGCCTGGAGGATCAGAACACGACTTCGTCTAACCTCTACCCTTCGACCTTCCCCGCCGGCTTGACAACAGCGTTCCTGTGTAGCTCGTTGGGTCAGAGAGGTGCATAAGCCATCACACCATGTCAGGGTACCCGATCTCTCCGTTCCTGTTCGATTTCGCGGAAATATTGGGCAGCGTACTTAGTGGTATCCAAATATTGGTATTGGGCAACTGGAAAAAAGTTGTTCGACTTTGAGTAAGCCGACGACATCCTTTGTGTTTAATTGTCTGGGGGACGCGTAAAGCGCACTTGACAGACTGACAAGCTCTGTTGCTCTTTTTGGTATGCTCTTTCAAAGTTCAAAGTGATGTTGCCGGACTGGGTGTTTTTTATTACACTTTAGTTCGATGAACAACAGACGGGGTAAATCCCAACTGCGGGGACCTGTTGTTCGGTGATGAAGACCGGTAACCCAAGCCCCGCAACTTGGAGTGATAAGCCATATAAGGCCTCGATAGGTTATATATGGTAATGAACTGGACGACAGCACAGCTGCCTACCACCAAAGTTGGTTGTTGGTGGTGGGGCTTGAACCTCGGACCATAGGGTCCAGCTCTCGCTTGTGACAGCGACCAAACTACTGCGTCACCGCCACCCTATGATCAGTCCTGCTTTACGATTGGGACCTTGAATTTGTGGGTAGAAGACATCCATCGCCTGGAGCTTTTCGACAATCGATGCTTACATGGTCTGGCTCACGTGGGATGGAGTGAGCGAGTTAGTAAACCAGAGGTTAGTCGTCGCGTGCTTGGGAATGTATAAAGGACGAATTATCTCCCACATCGAATCCAGCTCAACAGGCTTCACTGATTATGACATGTTTTGCGTATGTCTAACAGTCACCCATCACACGGCGCGCTATTTGCTGTGGCTGCTTTGGGATGAACGAAAAACAAGTGGAGTTTAACAAATGACAAGGAGACGATTCATGAAGAAATGCATGAAATGATTAGAGAGATTACTTGTCTCTGTTCTCTCAGGTTGGGGCCTAAAAGACCCCGTAACTTGTTGATTAGAAATACTAAAGGACGGCATCCAGTCAGCAGCACTGGCATTCTTGTTGTTTCTGTGTTGTGTATGCAGAATACGCGAGAAACCGGAACGAGAGAGGCCCCAACGTGAGGCTTTATCCAACATACCGTGTACGTTTAGAAACTGAAAAGGGGAAAGAAAGCGTGAGATAGAAAATCAATATTATAGGGTATTATGTCAGTTTCTTATGAGATCGCAATGCTCGAAAAGTGTGCCAAGTTGAACTGTGTAATCTGTGTTGACCATAAAGATTCGCTTTCTGTCCCCGTCCCCCAAAATAAGCTCAATCCTTATGTATTATTTATCTTGTTTGCATCATGAGTTTGACAGCGAGCGGTAAATTTGACTACACTGTACGATGATGTTAGAGGTTTGCCGTTTTCCAAATTGTGGTGTTGGATCGGCTCATCGAGTTTTTGGATTATTTTCTGCGTGTCTGTTGAATCTATGAGATCACGATGGTACCTTCGTAGAGGGGAAGACAAAATATTGTTTATTTTAGCCTCCAAAGGCTGTGGTGACTGATCACGTGTGACGTGAAACATTCTCCACTAACATCATTTGGCTCTCATGCGGGTTTGGAGTTCATTACATAAAAATTGCGATGGTTTTCGCTGACTGAATAAATTGCCATTAGGCTAGGGTGAATAATAAAGGTGTATACAATCATGTGTAATGAGTTTTGCTATTTTTGGCTTGATGAATAAAATATTGTCCGAGGTTGACTCATGAGCTTTGTTGTTATCAGGTCGCGTTACCTTCACTTTTAACTGTTCTCGGTCTTCATGACTCTCAATCGTTTTTATCAACTCTGCAGGATGCCACTTATCAACGGTGAGCGCTTTGAAAAAGTCAAACCACCTGACTCATTGAATCCGGATGATGAGGTGTTTTTCTGCCCAGCAACTTTGGAGATTTTTACGGACTACGAGTAAGTTACTGTACCCCATTACACTGTACAGGTCTAGGTTCAGTCAACCAGAGTTATTTGTGTTCACAATCTGCGTAACATTTGTCGCTTTCCTAGTCTTGTCGGAAATAAATATTAATTTAATTTTAATCACTAATTCGCCGGGTGGAAGCGATTCTAAGTAGTCGGCTAAATGTGATGCAAAAAAGTCCATTCCAGATAGGGAAGGTTTAATGCCTATAGTGCCACATCCCACGAGCTAGATAAGGCACACTCTTCTACTCTCCAACCTTCCGTTTTATTCATCTCACTGCTGAATCGTTTCCTATGGATAAAATTGCAAAAACGATACTCAATTTATTCTTTTAAGATGTCGATCAACTTCATTACGCCAGAGTAATCAAGAATATGCTTAGGTAGCAATTAGAATCAGTGGAAAATCAACGGTCCTTTTAAACTTTCTGTAAACCATTTCTGATGCATAAAATCCCTTGACAAAAAAAACTGCCGCCTCACATGGTAGCTGTACCTCTCATTCCTCATCCCATAATTACAAGAAGAATCAAATCCATACTATGTCAGCCTTTGAAATCCGTCGATATCAAATCTTTCTGTCGTTCCTAAATTCCCGTTGCGACAACCACATAATGCAATCACGACCGCAGCTGATGCGATTCACGCTCCGACTCATTGATCACCGACAAAAGCATCAAACTCGGCCAGTCCATCATTTGTCTGACCCAGCCGTTCGTGGGCGCTGAGTTGGTGCCGAGGCATACGCTAGGTGCAATACAACGTCTTGGTATAGAAACACAATGGGATCATATTGAGCGAACGACGCTCCGCAGCGAACGTTGGTTGTGGATCTCAGCCCAAAGCCCGTCTGAGGCATCAAATCTCGCGAGTCAGTGGCCCTCATGGAAAAAAAACGACAAATCCCGACCGGCCAGGATGCAAACAGGGTTAAGGGTTTCAAGAAGTATCGTGAAAACTGCTGGGCGATAACAACTTGTGAAAATGGAATTATCCGCCTCATCACGAAAGTGCGTGATTAACGGTTGTTCGAACTGAATTGAACTGTTTCAAGTAATACGTAACACTGTAGGTCGGCCAACCTGTTGATGAAAGAATTTGCAAAGGGGACAAATTGTTCACAATAGCTGACACCGACTTGACCTCTGTGTGAAGTGCATTAAAAATGGATCGGCTTGTTAGCTTGTCTCATTTGTGTATACTGTGCCACCGTTCGATCAGTTTTGCATTACGGCCGTGAAACCTTCATTTTGCGAATGAAAGACATCTATCAGATAGAGGTTTTCGACAACCGATGCTTGTGTTGTTTGAGGCAGGCGAATAATGCTGTAGGATAGGAAGCAGTACGCAGTAAAGTCATCGGCCAAAGAATGAATTAAGTTGAAAGGTTGGAAAAGGATCATTGATTATAGAAGAAAAATGGTGGGCACAAGAACTAAAGATGTATAGATCCCAGGTTCATGAGGCACGCAAGCCATCACACGGCGTCAAGGTGCAGTCTCCTCTTGATGGTTTTTGCAGTGGGTGAGCATTTATTTCTGGCGCGGAGCGGCTGAGAGGTGCTTGATTGGGCACTAACAACGATACGATGGATTTTCAGAACGTACGGCATGTTCATGTGCACAATTAAACCGATCAAGGGATCGTGGTTTTCCAAGTGTGAAGTTTGAATATAAAGGTGGATGTGACAGGCACGTTCCGACCGTAATGTAAAGTTCGATGGAGCCAATCAAGAACGGTGAAGCATCGTATCCTAACCACGTCCGAAGCCATAAGTGTTCGGATTCCCAACCCCCTTGTTGTACGTCCAGAAAAAAGTCATGCAAGCACTCAGTCTCTCCTGGCCCACTTCATCCATCTCAGCACTTGTGCAATCACTTGAACTTTTTTTGACAGTGTGATCAATTTCACACAAACACGCATTAGGACTCGAATTTCTCATTTCCTTTTTGTTCTTGTTGTTAACCATGTTTGATGTTATGTAAGAGCATGCTTACAAATAACTGTAACAAGCCGGTTCATCATGCTGTTGTTTTTAATTTATGTGGGACTGCAAATGTTTCAAAGACATTAATTAACCTTGAAGACCAATCTTAGTGCAGTTTGAGACAGGAATGAAAACATCAAACCTAAAACATCATTCATTCGAGGGATTAAAGACCAAAAGATCCTCCGAACCATTCCAGTTAGCTGAGTCGTAACATCAAAAGGTGCGTCTAGAGTTGGGTGGAGTAACAGGACGAGGAAATTGAGTAGGAAATGAAGTGAAACAATAGTCCAATGAGCCAAAAGAGGGGGAGATGGAAGTGTTACTGGAGAATGAAGAGAGAATGGATGTAAGAATGTGGTCAAGAATGTGTTTATCGGGTTAGTCGCAATGCGGTCTGGGATGCGTGTTTTAATGCCCAGATATGGTGAGTTAAAGGAAATCGGTCACCCAACCCTAAGACTTGAAGTAATGAACCACTTAAGACCTCAATAGGTAGGGTGTGACTGCGAACCGGGCGACAGCTTGTCTGTCTACTACCCGGGCAGAAATGGATGTTTTCTAGGTGATTGGTCGTACATTCTCAATAAATGTTTATGAAAATCTTAGTTGAAATCTCTTGAGTTCAAGCCTTGGCATGTGACATTATGCTGCCCATGAGGAAATCATGAACCGATTTCTTTGTAATATTGATTATTGTACTGTGGTTTGTTTGGCACATTGGACTTGGACGTGTAATGTGTAAATGTGTATCTTTATACCGCTAACTACGTTACTATCCATTATGATTGCTTCGAATGGTCGAATGTCTGATTTTTTTGTGGTTTATTTTTCACTTAGTGAGTATTTCGAACGAACGATTCTGGTGAACAGTATCGCGTGGCATTGTGCGTTATGTGGTCGTGGACCCATCACTTATTTGGAAGCTGTGCAGTGCGAGGACACAGATTCTCGTCAGTTGAGCACCTACGATTCTTCTCTGGCGGCTGGCTTGTTGCATATCATTCGGGCGGCAAAATGTAGGCGACTAGCCGATCTAGTTGAACTTCTCTGCAGCTTTGTCACAAATCGATTTTTTATTGGAGAATTAATAGAATTCCCGATGAACAAGTAAGTTCGGAGCATGTTAACATTATCGGTTACATTTCACTGTGTTAAGGTAACTACTTTGTGTATTGTTGAAGGGTATAGATGAAAATCTCGTTATGCGTTTCCTTCACACATTCATGTTTCCGTCGAATAATAATCCTTGTCGTCGTCCTCATTGTTATACAGCGAAGTACTTGATAAATTTATCATTAATTGCTATATATATATATATATATATCGGTGGTTATTCATGTCCTTGACTCTAGCGTCCTCCGGGCCCTAAGCTTCGAGCCTTGAATCTTACCACGGCCACCCAACTTGAATGGCAGCCGTACTGTCGCCCCACTCAATGGTACACCTCCCAATTCCGTTATATTTTGGTTCGTGGTTGGTTATACGTCGAAGACAGGTCCTTGTGCCTATGGGGTTTAGTTTTACCGTTCATCAAAATATTTTGCAATAAAAAAAGTCATCGAGTGCATATTCTGATTATCTGTGCACACAGTAGACAATCTGATTCGCCCTTTTTATCATGCAAGCGAATTCAGTAAACTACGACAATCCGAGAGCATATCGTATGCGAAACGGCGAAGGGAAACGTTCAGATTTAAACCAGCTTGTTGATTCTGCACTGTAAGATTGCATTGGCCTGGGCAACCTGGCAGTATTCGGCCCTCATGCCAATCTTGGAGCGTTTTTCTTTATTATAAAGATTATTGTACTACCATTTGTTTGGCACACAGTCTGGCCTCAAACGTGTGTGAAATATAAATATAAATAAATAGTGGAGTGCTGCACAGTTTTGGTGTTCTTGTGGAAGAAGAGAGTTGGAATTGCGACTAACTGCTTGGGAAATAATGGAATCCTCATTGCTGCTATCTTTCACTCATCGTCTTCGCTTTCAATCCGAACCGATCGCCGCACGATATACAATCAGAATTTGATAATATTTGATTGTTCGCATTTAACTGAGTTACTTGTGAGTAGTGGTGATTTGATTGTGAGGGTAAATTCTAGGGGTAGAGTGGTATGCAATTTATCTCTTTGCCATGTAAGTTGCTATTTTAGAAGCCATCGCTCTTGAAGCCTCGGTGCAACCCGGTCAATAGCATGAAAATTTGTCAGAAGTATCGTAACACAAAACTAATGTGGAAACAGTTGGTGTATAAGTCGACAGATATGGATCTCACGACCGCGGCGCCGCTGATGCCGGTTTGGATGCATCAGATCACAGGCATTCCACGTTCTCAAGCCTTCTGCGTAGAGTGTCCTGCGATTCCCGGTTTTGGGGTTGGTGTTCTCAACTCCCAAGCTCAACTCGTTCATTGGCCATTTTATCACCACTGACAACTTTGCCAAAACAGCACGAGGCAGCAGTCGTTAGAGCGGTATGTGCACGTTTGCCTTTAGGGTGATATAATGTCGCTCAAAGATCGACAAAAGCGGTCTGTAACAAAGGTTCCCCCTCTCATTTCTGGCAATTCCCTATTTTGTCCTGGCAATGCAACAAAGGCAACGCTGATCAAAGGCAATTTATCTCCATATATCAACAGCGCAGTCGGATCAGTCCGCAATCGTGGGCGAAGCCTTGCAGATTCGATTTTTAAATCAAAGACTGGGTTTATCTCGACGCCTCACATGGCATAGATTCGCGGAAATCGCCCGGGCTTGGCAATGCTTTCTTTTCCACCAGTGCTCCTGAGCTAATGTGCCTCAGCGTGGAAAAATGAATGGAAGATTTTCAACTGACCCCTCATGAGTGAACGTCACTGTAGTCATGTATCACCTATTTTCAGCTTTACGCAACCATATTCCGATTGGGGATGAGTCGACTGTGACTGTACCCTCATTACAACCCGCAGCCACATCAGCGCATAAAGAGATCCATTTGAGGTTTTATTGGTGCCAATCGTAAACAGATTTCTCCATGTCGGTGTTCATGGTGCTGGTCCCCATTTCTGTTCGCCTTCTCAAGCGGCAGTACCATCTTATGGAGGGAATTGTGTAAAGTATAAGACCATGAGTTGAACACTGACAACGGCTGCGTTGGAAAACCGATGGCCATGTATCTTTCGAGGTAACATCTGGTTATACTGTTGGAGATGTGGCCTAACCAATGTATTTCTAAACTGTTGCATAGACACCAATAACCACATCAATTTACGAATGCCCTCATCTTTTATCGACAGTTTGAGCGAGCACAGGTCGAATGATCATCTCAAATACACGTCTTCTTGTGCCAAGGTTTGTTTTGTTTGTGTGGGCAGTATCTTGCAAAGTGGTAAGAATGTTCTTCTGTTTCAGTCTACGTGGAATTTCACTTTTGGATGCATCTGCGACCACTTATGTAGTGAGTGATGATGCTCCTTGTGGAACCTGGAGTCATTTTTAAACTGTGCTATCTCTACTCGTCGCTCCAGTCCCCAATTCCACCCCCCCGAAGCTTTGGTATTTGCCTTCCCCTCTTCCTTCACACGCTAACAGTAACGTCTCAAATGGAAACTCTGCCGCTGTTCTTTCGTGTCCTACCTCCGTCCAAGTCTCACCAAATCCTCCACCAGCTGAAGCCCTTCTTCGCCCCCGATGTCCCTTCAAACTAGCCACGTTTAATGTGCGTACTCTGATGCGTATAGGACAGCAGGCCGGTTTAGCTAGTACGCTCGAAACCATAGCTGTCGATGTGTGTTGTATCCAAGAGACTCGCATTCAAGACTCCAGCTCCATTATCCGATTGACATCCCCTTCAAACGCATCAGTGAAGTTTCACGTACGCCTCTCTGGGGACCCTGAAGCTGCGGCTTCCGGTCTTGCTGGCGTTGGTGTGGCTCTCAGTGAGAGAGCTGAAGCCGCGCTCATAGACTGGTTCTCAGTCGACAGTCGGTTGTGCACAGTGAAACTTGGAGGTTCGTGCAAAGTAAGCAGCCGTCACCCCGATAGACGAAACCTGTTTGTCGTGTCGGCGTACGCTCCAACGGACTGCAGCCCAAATGCAGTCAAACATGAATTTTACCATAACCTACACGACCTGTCGCGTAAAGCGACCCGAGTTGATATCGTGGTTTTAGCAGGAGATATGAATGCTAGAGTAGGTCGGCTAACTTCGAGTGAGGCCCATTTGGGAGGTCCTTTCGAATTAGATTCCGTCGCTCGGAAAACGGGGAACGGCTGTTGGCTCTTTGTTCCGACCACCGCCTTTTCCTCGCCAGTACGAACTTCAGGCACTCCAACTGCCGGTATTCCCCCTGGCGTCCGCCCTCCTCGAGTCAGAGACGGACGCAGATCGACCGCGTAAGCCACAAATGGCGGGGTTATATACAAGACTGCCGAAAGGACATTCAAGCCTTGGGACTTCACAAAGCTCCGGGCTCCGATGGCCTTCCCTATGCTCTATTTAAAGATGGTGGAATAAAGCTTGTCAGAGAACTACAAGTTCTGTTATCTAGAGTGTGGAACACTGAACAGGTCCCCCCTCGTGGGAAGAAGGGAATTGATTGTCGTCCCCATCTTCAAAAAGGGTCCGCCCAGTGACTACGCCAAGCATAGGGGTATAAGCCTAATTCCGATGACGTCAAAGCTGTTGGCGTCCATCATTCGCCGCCGATTGTACACTATGCGTGAGGAGCAGGCTGGGTTTCGCGCCGGTCGTTGATGCATCGATCAAATCTTCACCCCCCGACAGTTGCTAGAGCACCGTTATACCTATCAAAGACTGGCGATCATTGTATTCTTGGACATCAGTGCAGCCTTTGACTCTGCCGATAGCACTGCACTATGGAACTGTTTTTTGAGGAATGGAGTAACTGAGAAGTATGCGTCATACCTCAGGTCGAGTCAGAGCTATGGCTAGCTTTCGCCACCCTTCACCGTCTCGGGTGGAGGTCGATAAGGCTGCCTCATATCCCCATTCCTTTTCAATTTTGTCGTAGAGGATGTTCTACAGAATGCTTTGTCCGGTCTAGCAAACGGTGGAGTCGAACTCCTCCCAGGGAACAGAGTCCTTGACTTAGAATATGCCGATGACATCGCCTTGCTTGGTGACAACACAAAGCCAGTTCAAAACGCTTTGAACCGCTTGGCGATAGAGGTATCCAGGTATGGCATGTGCTTTGCACCATCAAAGTGCAAAGTGCTGGTACAAGACTGGCAGGAGCCTGTGCCTGCACTCACCCTCTGTGGTGATCAGCTAGAGGTAGTCGAGAGCTTTAAGTACCTCGGGAGCTTAATCGTAGCTGGTGGTGGTGTCGGGGACGAGATCACATCA